CAGATGTTAGTGGAGGAGAGTATGGAGGCAGATATTCACATACAGATGTTAGTGGAGGAGAGTGTGGGAGGGAGATGCTCACATGCAGATGTTAATAGAGGACACTGTATCCTGGCTTATGCTGTGCTCTGAATGTGAAAGGTCTCCTACAAGCAGCTCATGTGTCTGAACATTTGGTTTGCAGCTGGGGTGCCATTGGTAAGATGTTGGAATCTTTAAGAGGTGGAGCCTGGGGAGGAAGTGGGTCACTGGGGACAGGCTTGAGACTTTATAGCCTGGTGCCACTTCCTGTCATTTTCTCTGTGTCCTTGCTGCTGATGCACTGTGACGGGCTGACTTCCTGCTCCTGACACCAGGTCTCCTGTGCCCCGGTGGAAATATATCTTCAAACTGTAAGCCAGAATAAACCTTGTTTTCTGTGATCTGCTTTTTCAGAAAAGTCACTACAGGCTGTTCTAGTGAAAATGAAAGCAACTAAGCAAAGCCTTAGGCTGCCAAGTCATGGCCAGTTCCTTCTTCTGTACAGGGAGGGAGCAGGATGCTAGAGTGGGGCGATTGTGTCCATAGATAAGAACATGACCTTTGTCTCATGATCATTAAGGAGACCGTAGTGGGGGACTATCCAGAGACAACTGTAAAAATAACTAGTCACAGAGTAGAGTAGCCTGAGGATTAACAGGTCTCCAGAGGGACCATTGCAGGTCATTTCATATGCCAGTGACATGGATTTCTTTTCATCTTATTAAGAATAGTCAAACGTGGTATCACTCACCACACTAGGGTACTCCTTCTAGATATTGTCTGATGAGTGAGTGTGTCTGGTCTTAAAAGATTTAACTTGGCCAGGTATTGTTGCACACGCTTCTAATCTGAGCACTCAATAGGCTGAGGCAGGATGATGTCCACTCTGAGGCTAACATGGCTATAGAGCAAACAAAACAAAAATAAATGAAAACCTCCGGTTTGCTACAGCTTTTGCCAAAATGTAGGGAGGTAGGCAAATTCCAAATGAATGGGATAGATGAAACATCTCATGGAGGATCCACGTCTGACTCTACCCAAAGGTGGATTTGATATTCTTTTGAGAGTATTGCAATGTGTGGATTAGTCATATGCTTATACAAAGGGGATCCTAGTTTTGTCTTATTTAAAATTTTTTGATAACTTCATATCTAAGGGCTGTATTAACATCATTTCTACCCTGCCCTCTTTCATCCTACCTAACTGCCTCTCAAATTCATGACCTCTTCTTTATCACACACATGTATATGTAAATTAATTTAAATTAATTAAATATGTATATATACATATATGTAAATTATACACTTGCATATATATGCATTTTAAAAACATAAAAGAATGTTCCAGCGCAAGGCCCTGGGTTCAATCCTCAGCTCAAAAAAAAAAAAAAAAAAGAATGTTTCTTATTTCCTTTCCAGACATCCTTAGTGTTATTTCCCCTCCTCCCTCCCATCCCCTCTGCATTCTCCTCTCTCTTCCCTGTTAAAGTCCCTTCCATTCCCCCTTTTCCTTCTTCATAGCACGTGTCCTACTAGAGATCTCTCGAGATCCCTCCCCTCCCCTTGTACCATGGCTCTTTCTTCTTTCCTGGTTTTCACAGTTATCCGGGGTCTGTACTCACATCTAAAGATCCAGAACTAGGAACCACAAAAAAGAGAGAACATGCAGCATTCATCTTTCTGGGTCTGGATCAACTCACTTGGTATAATATTTTCCTTTTTTTATTTTATTAAAAATTTTTGTCAAAGGCTTTTTCAGCATCTAATGAGATGGAAATCAGTATGGTGGTTTCTCAGAAAATTGGAAATCAATCTTCCTCAAGACCCAGCTATACCACTCTTGGGCATATACCCAAAGAATGCTCAATCATACCACAAGGACACATGTTCAACTATGTTCATAGTAGCTTTATTTGTAAGAGCCAGAACCTGGAAACAACCTAGATGCCCCTCAACTGAAGAATGGATAAAGAAATGTGGTACATATATACAATGGAATACTACTCAGCAGAGAAAAACAATGACATCGTGAGGTTTGCAGGCAAATGGATGGAACTAGAAAATATTATCCTAAGTGAGATAGCCCAGACTCAGAATGACAAACATGGTATGTACTCACTCATAAGTGGATACTAGATGTAAAGCAAAGGATAACCAGACTGCAACCCACAGCTCCAGGGAAGCTAGCTAGTAAGGAGGACCCTAGGAAGGGCACATGGATAGCTCAGTGATGGAGAAATGGATGAGATCTACATGAGCAAACTGGGGGTAAGAGTGGGTAATGGAGGGCAAGGGACGGGGGATGAGAGCTTAGAGGAGTGGGAGGTTTGAGCTGGAATGGGAACAGAATGGGAGAGCAAGGGAAGAGATACCATGATAAATGAAGACACCATGGGAATAGGGAGAAGCAGAGTGCTAGGGAGGTTCCCAGGAATCCACAAGGATGACTCCACCATAGACTACTGGCAATAGTTGAGATGGTGCCTGAGCTGACCTACTCTGGTGATCAGATGGCTGAATACCCTAACTGTCATCATAGAACCCTCATCCAGTGACTGAAGGAAGCAGATGCAGAAATCTATGGCCAGGTCCCAGGCAGAGCTCCAGGAGTCCAATCGATGAGAGAGAGGAGGGATTCTATGAGCAAGACAAATTGAGACCATGATTGGAAAAAGTACTGAAAGACCCTAACCCTTCAGGCTTACACCCCCCAAACCCCAGGAGAATAAGGAACTAAAAAGAAAACTAGTTCCAAGGGCAACCTGACTCAGCCATTACTCAATCTCCCCTGCAATGTAACAATGTAAAGAGATTTCTGTTAAGAGATGTGCTCAACTGTGACTGGGATAGTTGCAAGTGTTCCAGGAAGGACCACTGTGACTTTTGTGTAAACTCCACTCCCGCCCTGATACCCCCCTTGAAGTTTCAGGAAGAATGTACATGTGGATGTGACTGTACCCACTCTGTGATCAGACCATGATCTTGCGAAACGAAATTGCATGGGAATTGTAATCTTATGGCTTTTGTGGGTTTTTCCTTTAAAAGCCCCCATGTAGCTACAGTAAGATGCGACTCTTGCTCTCAGGACAAGAGTAGCCCGTCTGTACAGTCCCTTCAATAAAAACTCGTGCTGTTGCATCAACTGGACTAGAGTCTGGGTTCTTGGGGTGCCCACTTGAGACCCTAGATTTGGGGTCTAACAGTACAGAGACAACTAGTCAAACTAGTGGAAACACATGAACTGTGGACCAATAGCTGAGGAGCCCCCATGGTACTGGACTAGACCCTCTGGAAAAGTGAGACAGTTGTTTAACTTGAACTGTTTAGGGGCCCCCAGGCAGTGGGATCAGGACCTGTTCCTAGTGCATGAGCCTGCTTTTCAAAACCTAGTGTCTATGGTGAGCCTTGGTGCAGGGAGGAGGGGCTTGGACCTGCCTCAACTGAATGTACCAGGCTCTGCTGACTCCCCATGGAGACCTTGCCTTGGAAGAGGAGAGAAAGGGGGGTGGGTTGGGAGGGAATGCTGGGGCGCTGGAGGAGGGAGAACAGGGGAATCTGTGGTTGGTATGTAAAATGAATAGACAATCTCTTAATAAAAAATAAAAAATAATTTTTAAAAAATTTTACATACCAACCACAGTTTCCTCTTCTTCCCCTCCTCCAGATCCATCCCCAGATCCTCCTAACCCCACCCCCATCCACTCCTCAGAGAGGGTAAGGCCTCCCATGGGAAGCCAACAAAGTCTGGTATATCAATTTGATGCAGGACCAACCCCCCCAACACACACATCGAGGCTGAACAAGGCATCCCTCATAGGGAATGGGCTCCAAAAAGCCAGTTCATGCACTAGGGATAAATTCTGGTCCCACTGTCAGGGACCCCACAAACTGCCGAAGCCACACAACTATCACCCACGTTCAGAGGGCCTAGTTGGGTCCCATGCAGGTTCCCCAGCTGTCAGTCCAGAATCAGTGAGCTCCCATGAGTGCAGGGCAGCTGTCTCTGTGGGTTTCCCCATCATGATCTTGACCCCTCCCCTTGCTCATATAATCCCTCCTCCCTGTTTTTGACTTGACTCCAGGAGCTCAGCTCAGTGCTTGGCTGTGGATCTCTGCATCTGCTTCCGTCAGTTACTGGATGAAGGTTCTATGATAACAATTAGGATAGTCACCAGTCTGATTACAGGGCAAGGCCAGCTCAGACACCCTCTCCACTATTGCTAGGAGTCTTAGCTGAGGTCATCCTTGTGGATTCCTGGGAATTTCCCTAGCACCCGGTTTCTCCTTAACCCCATAATGGCTCCTTCTACCAAGAGATCTCTTTTCTTGCTCTCCTTCTCTGTCCCTCCCCCAACTCCACCATCCTGTTCCTTCATGTTCTCATCCCCCATAAGCCCTCCTCCAGTTTACCCAGGAGATCTTATCTATTTCACCTTCCAGGGTGATCCATGCATGTTCTTCTTAGGGTCCTCTTTGTTATCTAGTTTCTCTAGGACTGTGAATTGTAGCCTGGTTATCCTTTGCTTTACATCTAGTATCCACTTATGAGTGAGTACATACCATGTTCGTCTTTCTGGGTCTGGGTTACCTCACTCAGGATGAGTTTTTTTTTAATTCTATCTATTTGCCTGCAAATTTCATGATGTCATTGTTTTGTTTTGTTTTTTAACATTGAGTAGTACTCCATTGTGTAAATGTACTACATTTTCTTTATCCATTCTTTGGTTGAGGGGCATCTAGGTTGTTTCCAGGCTCTGGCTATTATGAATAATGCTGCTATGAGCATAGTTGAGCAAGTGTCCTAGTGTTATGATTCTGTATCTTTGTGTATATGCCCAAGAGTGGTATTACTGTGTCTTGAGGTAGAATGAGTCTCAATTTTCTGAGAAACTGCCATACTGATTTCCAAAGTGGCTGTACAAGTGTGCACTCCCACTGGCAGTGGAGGAGTGTTCCCCTAAGCTGTGATCAGTGTTTTTGATCTTAGCCATTCTGACAGGTGTAAGATGGTATCTCCGAGTCATTTTGACTTGCATTTCCCTGATAGCTAAGGATATTGAGCAATTCCTTATATGTCTTTTGGTCATTTGAGAGTCTTCTGTTGAGAATTCTCTGTTTAGATCTGTACCCCATTTTTTTAATTGGATTATTTGGTATTTTGATGTCTAGTTTCTTGAGTTCTTTATATATTTTGGAGATCAGCCCTCTGTCAGATGTGTGGTTGGTAAAGATCTTTTTCCATTCTGTAGGCTGTCATTTTGTCTTATTTACCTTACTATGTCCTTTGCCTTACAGAAGCTTCTCAGTTTCAGGAGGCCCCATTTATTAATTGTTGCTCTCAGTGTCTGTGCTACTGGTATTATATTTAGGAA